CATCGGTTGTTTCATTTGAGTGATTTATTGCTAATGTTATGACATATATGTGGGCAGTCTAATTCTACATTTAAGTGAAATTACTTTCTCCCTTTAATGGAAATTTGCTTGCATTACATATTGGTCAAAATATTTAGTGTAAACTTTTATTCAGTATTGATTATTCCATATTTGTGCGGGGTAGAAATGTTGCATTATTGAATACAAATATTTCTATATATTCTATATAGTTCAAAGTAATGGACGTGTCTTGTTATTACAGCCAAGTTTGCACTTTCACTGCATGTAATTCTATAGATTAATCTATGATTTAAAATCGTATTCAAGGAATATGTGTTTTTTTATTTGTTTAGGAAGAATGAGGATTAGGCAGAGTTGCTCTCAAAACATTTTATTTACATTTAGGACAGGGGTGTCCTAACTTTTTAGTAAGAGGGCACAACTTTAGTCATCAGACTAGTCCAGGGGCCGACATCACAGACTGATAAAACTGTCATGACTTTTCTGAGCTTTAAAATTATCTATATACAGAAGCTGAAGTTGGACATGTCTGATTTAGGCTATAATCATTAGAAGCCATTTCAGTCCCTGCACGGATCTCTCATATTTATTATCTTAACTTAAAAAATATTCACTGGTGGGCAGAAAAAATTATGCCTGGTAAAACAGAGGTATAGTAAAAGCACCACCATTAACTTCAAACGTTGTTAACATCAATTTTTCCTTTGCTGATTCTTGACTTTTTTTTCCATCCCACACAATTTACTTTGTGTTGTTGCTGTTTGTTGGGGTTTGTTGCCTTTGATAGTTTCCTGCATTCAGGCACAGGACACTTTTCCCCTTTGGGAATTTTCTTGATTTGTAGACATGCAATGTGGAACCAGATATATTTACTGTTCTCAAACATCACAGGCTATCATGTAATATAAATTTTCTGGTCTTTTGCAATTGCTGTATGTGGGCTCAGCATACAGGGGTGCATTTTTCTCTTGTGGTAGTGATGTCAACATCAGAGTGAGTTTTGGTGTAGAACTTGCCAAACTAGCTCTGGCAACAACGCTTTCTTGATGAAGGACGCATGAGATTTCAAGTATGTCCTGCCACATTTCGGCAATACTTTCAATCCGTTCATTATATATTTCCTGTTCGTACAATAGCTCAAAGTCTGAAAGTCGTCATCACCAAAACATGTATTTGTGTTTGGACTTGAACACATGTTTTCGTGGTTTTCTTCATATGAATTCTCCTTTATATGATGAATGCAAGTTTTTCGCCGTCTACCATCAATTTTCATTTATGGTTGGTCAAAGGCTTATATGGGACATTTTATTTCAAGAAACTCCTTTTACAACACAATCAACAGGGAGACTCGGGCCATTCTGGTGGATGCCCCTCTATGATGGTTGTCTTGATAATAACATTACTGCAGGTTGAGCTGGAAAATTCTCATGTTTCTGTTCCATAAGTTCACAGTAAGCTTTTTTGGCTGTTTCTTCGGGGGGGGGTAAAAAACGGTCCCCAATTTGTGCTTCATTGGAAAACTTTTTCCCTGCTGGATAGCACACTTCTGTGATCAAAGATTGTGAGGGTGGTCTGGATATTGGACCTGCATGCGCGTTTCATCCATGGATGCTGTCTACCCTCCCAGATCGAAACTAGTACCAAGCTTACTGGCTCGATTGGGGTTTTTGTTGGCCTCTTCCAGCAAACTTTGCTGTTCCTTTGAGACATTATTTTGTCTTCTCACATTTATTTATTCAAATCGCTGAAGGACAGCTTGGCTACTCTGGTCTGTTCAAGTCTTTTAAAAATGCCTGGGTATTCGTTTGCCATCAGCTCTTCCCCCCCCCTTGGCCTGAATGCTGTGGAATGTTCAGGATCCACACTTCAGAATTGCAGCCTGTTGACAGATGCACTATGTTTCCTGTTACAATGTTGTTATTTCTCCTTTGGTGGTGTGGTACAGTTACTATGTTGTCGACTGGTTGGCGTCTTTAGAACATCATAACTTTTGTCAACAAGCGCTCCAGTGTTTTTTCTTTGATTTGGAAGAAGTGAATCGATTTGGAAATAGGTAAAGTATTCCACCTTGCCTTGACGTTGGGAGTTTCAATACTGCTTCTTTGGGGTCACTGTTTTGGAATTTTTTGATGCGTACTTTTTGTTTCCACATAAAATAAGTAAGGCAACTGAATGGTGTGCAGGATTCTCCAAGGCCAGCAACGACATTCCAATGTCCGCTTAATATTCTCCCTTATCACTTTCTGCGATACAGCCATGGTTTTAGGGGCGTATCTCGCAGGTCTTTGTGAAGAAGTTACCTGAGGAAAAAGGGTGAAAATTAGGGTAATTTTCTTTATCTACATTTTTGTCTTCATGTGCGCAATCCCTTCTCCCAAAAACTATGATGTTTAACTCTAATGATTGTATTTTTCTAGATCAAAATTTCAAGGCTTATTTTCTATATTCAATGAATTTCGTTACAAAAAAATTTTTTTTTTTTTTTTTTTTTTTTTTTTTTTTTTTTTTTTTTTTAACATTTATTAATACTAGTGTTTGGTGTGATTCTGCAGAAATTTCAGATCAAATTTAAAACTAAGTCCAACCCGTCTTTCCATGACCTTCTGCAGAGTGGTGTATGTTTATTCCCCAGCTGTCAGCCTGCAGACGCCGGTCCCACATCGTTCGGGGTGGTAGTCTAAGTGCCTATCAGTTCATAATACATTGATATGGCTTACCACTGTCCTAATACAACTTGAAGTCAATTGATAACGGTAGCTGTTCTCTTCTCTTCACCCATCCGCATACAAAATGGTTGTAAGCCGCCAGCCCTTGTAACACTTCAAATCTTCGAGGTGTGGATACGGGCTGGCTCCGTTAGACCAAAGAGTTCGATGTCTGGGTAAGTATATTGCAGGTAGAATGTTGGCATTTTACACTCAGCTTGTCCCTGCTGATGCTGTTGGGGTCTATGTTGTTTATCATAACGAATCTTATGAAGGTACCTTGTCCTCGCTGAGGGGGAAACTGCTGTGCTTCGATATATGATGGATTTTACCGACACCTGCCGCCATTTCTCACACTTGTTTGTCCTCCAGCATGGCGCCGTGGCTGCTTGTCTCGTGACATAGGATCCTCTTATTATACACAATAATCATGTTTGAAGCATGGACTAACCACCTTAAACCGTGTGTTTGTGGAAGGTCGGACTTTGTCCTCTGCAAATGTCGTTATTTATGTCAACCGAACCTCTGTATAATTGTGTGTTTTATATTTATTAGCCTGTATGAAAAGGGCTTTATAATTATTCTGGCCTATTCTTCATTTCTTATGTTATTATTTTACAGTTTTCCCAGTTCAGTATGGGGATTAATAAACGTAGGCACAATCCTATTTTATATGTTAGCTTACTATAGCTGCTGTGCTGACAGAGTGATTTTTCCATGAATCGTGACTTTTCCTCAGGTAGCTGTAAGTTTAATCAGTGGGTTTGTTTCTCCCTAAAAGATAAAACACAAACATGTTTTTTCTTGTTCAAAACCGAATCTGAATGAACTAGCCTCGTTGCTTTTAGCTTTTCGGGGGTGAGCTTATTTAACAGCAGATTTCAAGGTTTAATACACACATCTGTGGCAGATCTAAATTACATGTCTGTGTTTTATCTATGAACAGTCGTGTTCATAACTCAACAGAAAAGTATTGCAGTACTTACTATAGACATTAACTTCACAGTATGTGCTTTACTTATTTATTGTTTGCTCCGGCTGGTCGAGCTGAGTGTTGTTTACATGTTAAATTTGAAGAACGGAGTTCTGCGCATGCGCGGCCGGACTGGCAAAAGAAGGCAGCGATGCCATAACATCAGATGAATCTCATATCTGCTCTCCAATAGTGCCGTTTCATAGAGACGAAGTCTTGATGCCACGCTTGGCGGAGCTAGCCAAGTGGTTTTGGATACCCCTGCATTTAGACGTCGCGTGAGGAAGTGAAAGTCAAGGCCTACATTATCAAACCTAAGCGGCTGATGCTAGCGTTTTTGGACACAGGCTATGACAATTTTTTGACGTAAAAAGGAAGAATTTCATAATAGATGGTTAATTTTTTTCTTTATATAATCAAATTTTTACATGTACTGTTGCGTGATAGTTGTAGATGATAATTGAACTGCATGCGCCTGCCTCATGAGATTTTTTTTTTTATTTCATTTTTATCTCATTAATTTTGTGATAGTTACCTCATATTTTGAGATAAATATTGAAAAAAATATTTAATTCTAATCTTCAATATTTATGAGATAAATATCTCAATTTATGAGATCAGTATCTCTAAATTATGAGATACATATCTCATAAATTTGAGATACTATCTTCATAATTTATGAGATAGTTATCTCATTAATTATGAGTTTGTATTATTTTTTTTTCATTTTGTATCTCAGAATTATGATGGTAAAACTATCTCATAATTATGAGATTAAAAAATGAAATAAAAAAAAATCTCATGATGCAGGCTGCATGCAGTTATTGTTTCATTCTACAACTCTTCACCAACAGCTACAGGTAAATATTTGATTATCATTAAGAATAAATATTTTAACCTTCTTTTATGAAATTCTCCTATATAGTTCACAAAAAATGTCATAGGCTGTTCCATAAACGCTAGCATCAGGAAGGCGTAGGGTGGATATGTCAGGCCCGTGACGTCACTTCCTCACGCTGACGGCTATTGCAGGGGTATCCACAAAACTCACTTGGCGTGCTCGCCTAGCGTAGCATCATGAATTTCCGTCTCTTTTGGAAACGGCCACTTTTGGAGCAGATATGATGGATGCTGGATGTTTGCTTCGCTGCTCCTTTTGCCAAGGTCACGCGCGCGCACGGATATTGCTCAGTAAGACACACGTCACCGTCTGGATTGCACAGCGCTCGAGGGGAACGCCACAGCTCACCGTTGTCACAGACCAAAGTGTGCCAGGTTCAGGCGGCGGGACACTCCCCTTTTCACACCTTAGTGCGCAGGGCAGACTCACTCACCTTTTCACACCAAAGTGGCGGAGGGGCGAGGTCAGACGACGTCGTCACCTTCGACGAGCAGGCCGAAGGCGGTGCTGCGGAGAGTGTGACACACTCACCTTTTCACAGCAGAAGCGCGGTGGGCGAGGTGTGGGACACAGCCCAGTGGTTTGTTTGGGTGCACCTTTTCACAGCCAGGAGGGCGTGCAAGGTGCAGACCGACTCCTCACCTTTCGACACCTAGGGAAGTGCGCAGTAGACGCGGCTGCACGTCACCTTATCAGCGGAGGCCAAAGGGTTGCTCATGGGTAACACACGGACTCACCTTGATGGCGCGGACAGCGCAGAAGGGGCTCGAGGGTAGAGCGGACGCGCTCGACCGAGTCGATCACCACCAAAGTGCTCAGTATCACTGGGCACTCACCTTGAGGTCAGCATGCGCAGTAGTGCTCATGTTGAACGGGACAGCGACTAACCTTGTTGGCGAGACCGCCAAGAGTGTGGGCTCGAGGTAGACACACGGAGCGACCGTTGTGGCCTCGGACCAAGAGGTGCTCGGAGGGTAACGGCCAGGCGTCTCGACGCTTCTCAGCCGCCAGAGAGTTGCTCGAGTGAAGACTGCACATGCGTCACGCTTTCACACGCAGGGAGGGCCAGGGTTGAGGGCACGGTCGCACCGTTTCACACCGGTTAGGGCTCAGTGTAACACACGCTCACCGTTCTCAACACCAAAGTGCGTCAGGTAACAGCACACCACCTGTTTGTCACACCGAAATGGCTGCAGGTATGGCAGGCGGAGCGGACTGCGGACCGTTTCGACAGCCAGAGTTGCTGCGGTAACGGGAGCGAGCGAGCTCACCTTTGTCAACACAGAAAGGGTGCTGCAGGGTAAGACACCGCCACCTTGTCACAGCCAAATGCGTCTCGAGTAAAACACGAGCGTGCACCGTTTTCTCACCTAGTGGCGTCAGGTCAGGAGCACCACGGCCACGCGTGTTGCACACGAAATGGTGCGTCAGTGGTGGAAGCACACACTGCAGCCTTTTTGCACACGAAAGGTGGCTCGATGTCAGAGCACGGACTGCGACGCGTGAGATTGCAGCACCAAAGATGCTGCATGGTGCCAGACGACACGCGACCTTTTGCCACGCATAGGGCTGCAGGGTTCGTACACGTGCTACCTTGTTCACACCAAAAGTGCTCAGGTACGGACACACGTCACCGTTTTCACACCAAAGGTGCGAGTGCGGAGGTAAGCGACATAGCGGTCACCTTTTCGGACACCAAGAGTGCTCAGGAAGGACACACGGTGACACCGTTAGCACACGCGGAGAAGTTCTCTGGGAACGACACACTCGAGCTTTTCAGCACGAAAGTGCTCAGGTCAACACAGCGAGCACCGGAGTTTGGCACCACCAAAAGTTGGCTGCGCAGTGGGTAAGGACACACTCACCCTTCACAGCCAAAGGTGCGCCAGGGTACACACACTGCGTCGGCTTTTACACAGCCAATAGTGCTCAGTACTGCACGACTGCGACCTGTTTCATGACCAAAGTGCGTCAGGTAACAGCACACTCGACCTGGTTTCGACACGCTAGGGAGTTTGCTGAGGCTTACACGAGCTCTCCGCGGCAGAGTTCACACCAAAGTGGCTCAGTAGAGCTCACACTCAACTTTTTGGCACACCTAGGTGCGGCGAGTAGAGGCACACTCTCGACGCTGGTGAGACACGACCAAAGTGGCTCGCGGGGTGAGAACACACACTGCCGACCGTTTTCGACGACCAAAGTGGGGCTGCATGGGGGTGGATCGACAACGAACTCGCGCGGCTTGTGTCACACGGCAAAGGTGCTCAGGTGAGACGACACTCTCACCTTTTCACACAAGGTTGCTCAGGGGCAGACAGGGCACTCCACCTTTCAGCACGCGAGAGTGCTCACAGTAAGGTAGCGTAAGTAATGGTACGTATTAATATTTATAGTAGCAACGCGGGGTGTCGACGCAGACGAGAGGTCACAGTGGAGAGTGCTTGCACTGAAAGAAATACAAATAGAAATAAAAAGTACATTTACATTTAAAATCACAAAACATGGTGGGCATAAAACAACCCCGTTCCCACTGGAATTAAAATGCTTTTTCAAACAAGTAAGGTTTTCTGTTTACACGTAAAAACATCAACACAATCAAGAAAGCGCAAGGAAAGCGGAAGATCGTCCAGAGCGTACGGGCGCACCACCTGGAAGGGCGATCTCCTCTCGCTTGTAGACGGTACAGAGGGGACATGTTGAAGTTCTGATCCGGAGACCGGGGGGTGCATACCGCCCAGCTCGGGAGTGCTAGGAAACGGAGACAGAGGTCGCTAGGTTGTAGAGGAGTGGGTTAGCGCCGTTACACCATGGCAAGGGGCTCAGGTGAGAGGGTCAACACCAGGTAGTTTTAAAATTGAGATCGAGAAATTGGGACTGGAGCCAAGTGGAGGGCTTGTTATGAATGGGAGATATGAGTGGATGCCCGGTGCTGTTAGTGGCTAGTGCGGAGTAACGTCGCCGGGCAGTAGTGGTTTGTAGCTGCGGGGATGCGGGACGACGGGGGACTCCGTTTGGTTAGACATAGAAAATAAGGCTGTGTACAGAGTAGAGTTCTAGGAACGGAAGGACGGCAAAGGTCGTGGGAGGATTCATTGATCAAGTGTCATCCCTTGCAAAGATTGGGTGTCTGAAGTTGGTAGATATGTTCTCGGAGGTGTATATAACAGTTCACTGTAGGCGTACACCGAGGAGTTTGTAGAGACACGCCCTCATCGTTGTCACACCTAAAGGGTGCGGCAGTGTAAGCGAGACACGGCGACCGTTTCGGAGCGTGCCAAAGTTTTGCTCAGGGCGAGGGAGCACAGCAGCACGCGGGTTGCACGGGGGAGGCGCAAAGTGGGCTGCGCAGGGGTCGAGGAGCAGCACTCACCTTTTGTCAGGGACCATGTGTGCTCGATGGTCCGAGGGAGGGCGACTCGCAGCCTTTGTCTCGACGCAAGGATGGTGCTCAGGGGGGAGAGAGGGCTCACGCACCTGTTTGCACACCCAAGCTTGGCTGGCGGATCAGTGTAACACCACACTGCGCGACAGGTTTGTCGACACCGAAGAGTGGTGCCTCAGGTCGAACGACGCGCTCTCGCTGTTGTCACACGCAGAATGTGCTCAGGTGCAACGAGCAGCACCGTCACGCTTGTCACAGAAAGTGCGCGAGGTCGGGAACGAAACTCACCGGTTTGTCACGAGCCAGAAGTGCCAGGTAAGACACACTCATCCTATTCAGCGCAGCCAAGAGTCGACGGGGTTGCGACAGCGAGCAGGCGATCCTCGGCTGGTGTAGCGACACGCGAAAGGGCGTGCAGGTAAGGCACACGACGTCCACACCTTTTCACACCAAAGTGCTCAGGTCAGACACACTCACCTTTTCACACCAAAGTGCTCAGGTAACACACTCTCACCTTTTCACACCAAAGTGCTCAGGTAACACACACTCACCTTTTCACACCAAAGTGCTCAGGTAACACACTCACCTTTTCACACCAAAGTGCTCAGGTAACACACACTCTCACCTTTTCACACCAAAGTGCTCAGGTAACACACACTCACCTTTTCACACCAAAGTGCTCAGGTAACACACAATCCAATCCAATCCAATCCACTTTATTTATATAGCACATTTAAACAACAGTTACGTTTCCAAAGTGCTGCACAAAAAAGTATAAAATAAATAAAAACTTATCCTTAGCTTCACCAAGTATAAAAGATTAAAAATATATAAAACAGATTAAAACCATAAATAGAAATAAAATAAAAACACAGAGGACCACACAACTCACACAGTGTTAAAAGCCAAAGAGTAAAAGTGGGTCTTAAGACGAGACTTAAAACACTGTGGGGGCCGTCCGGACATGGAGGGGAAGAGCGTTCCAGAGCTTAGGGCCGACCACAGAGAAGGCTCTGTCCCCGGGTTTTAAGTCTTGCGTTAGGGACCACGAGCTGGAGCTGGCTCTCGGACCTCAGGGCGCGCGCAGGAGTGTAAATTTGGATGAGGTCCGAGATGTAATCAGGGGCCTGTCCGTGCAAAGATTTAAAAACAAACAGTAAAATTTTAAAATCAATTCTAAAATGAACAGGGAGCCAGTGCAAAGACGCGAGTACAGGGGTGATGTGTTCGCGCTTTCTGGCCCCCGTTAAAAGTCGTGCTGCTGCGTTCTGGACCAACTGCAACTGGGAGAAGGTTTTCTGATTGACAAATAAAAGCATGCACAACCTGTTCTAACAAGTTAAAAGATAAGAATGGCTTCACTTTTGATAAAAGCCGAAGATGATACAAACACGATTTTAAAACGCCATTAACTTGTTTGTCAAATTTAAAATCACTGTCTATAGTCTCGCCAAGGCTGGTGACTTTGGACCGCACATAATTTCCTAGTGGTCCCAAGTCAGTAAGGGCCGGTCCAAATGTTAAAATTTCTGTTTTTCCCTCATTCATTACTAAAAAATGTTGGGCTAACCAAGCCGTGACGTCACATAGACAGTCAAGGCTTGGCAGTCATAGACACTCACCTTTTCACACCAAAGTGCTCAGGTAACACACACTCACCTTTTCACACCAAAGTGCTCAGGTCAGACACACTCACCTTTTCACACCAAAGTGCTCAGGTAACACACACTCACCTTTTCACACCAAAGTGCTCAGGTCAGACACACTCACCTTTTCACACCAAAGTGCTCAGGTAAGACACACTCACCTCTTCACACCAGAGTGCTCAGGTAACACACACTCACCTTTTCACACCAAAGTGCTCAGGTCAGACACACTCACCTTTTCACACCAAAGTGCTCAGGTCAGACACACTCACCTTTTCACACCAAAGTGCTCAGGTCAGACACTCTCACCTTTTCACACCAAAGTGCTCAGGTAAGACACACTCACCTTTTCACACCAAAGCGCTCAGGTAACACACACTCACCTTTTCACACCAAAGTGCTCAGGTCAGACACACTCACCTTTTCACACCAAAGTGCTCAGGTAACACACACTCACCTTTTCACACGAAAGTGCTCAGGTCAGACACACTCACCTTTTCACACCAAAGTGCTCAGGTAAGACACACTCACCTCTTCAAACCAAAGTGCTCAGGTAACACACACTCACCTTTTCACACCAAAGTGCTCAGGTAACACACACTCACCTTTTCACACCAAAGTGCTCAGGTAAGACACACTCACCTCTTCACACCAAAGTGCTCAGGTCAGACACACTCACCTTTTCACACCAAAGTGCTCAGGTAACACACACTCACCTTTTCACACGAAAGTGCTCAGGTCAGACACACTCACCTTTTCACACCAAAGTGCTCAGGTAAGACACACTCACCTCTTCACACCAAAGTGCTCAGGTAACACACACTCACCTTTTCACACCAAAGTGCTCAGGTAACACACACTCACCTTTTCACACCAAAGTGCTCAGGTCAGACACTCTCACCTTTTCACACCAAAGTGCTCAGGTAAGACACTCATCTTTTCACACCAAAGTGCTCAGGTAACACACACTCACCTTTTCACACCAAAGTGCTCAGGTCAGACACACTCACCTTTTCACACCAAAGTGCTCAGGTAAGACACACCTCTTCACACCAGAGTGCTCAGGTAACACACACTCACCTTTTCACACCAAAGTGCTCAGGTAACACACACTCACCCTTTCACACCAAAGTGCTCAGGTCAGACACTCTCACCTTTTCACACCAAAGTGCTCAGGTAAGACACTCTCATCTTTTCACACCGAAGTGCTCAGGTAACACACACTCACCTTTTCACACCAAAGTGCTCAGGTAACACACACTCACCTTTTCACACCAAAGTGCTCAGGTAAGACACACTCACCTTTTCACACCAAAGTGCTCAGGTAACACACTCTCACCTTTTCACACCAAAGTGCTCAGGTAAGACACACTCACCTTTTCACACCAAAGTGCTCAGGTAACACACTCTCACCTTTTCACACCAAAGTGCTCAGGTAACACACACTCACCTTTTAACACCAAAGTGCTCAGGTAACACACACTCACCTTTTCACACCAAAGTGCTCAGGTAACACACTCTCACCTTTTCACACCAAAGTGCTCAGGTAACACACTCTCACCTTTTCACACCAAAGTGCTCAGGTAACACACACTCACCTTTTCACACCAAAGTGCTCAGGTAAGACACACTCACCTCTTCACACCAGAGTGCTCAGGTAACACACACTCACCTTTTCACACCAAAGTGCTCAGGTAAGACACACTCACCTTTTCACACCAAAGCGCTCAGGTAACACACACTCACCTTTTCACACCAAAGTGCTCAGGTAACACACACTCACCTTTTCACACCAAAGTGCTCAGGTCAGACACACTCACCTTTTCACACCAAAGTGCTCAGGTCAGACACACTCACCTTTTCACACCAAAGTGCTCAGGTCAGACACTCACCTTTTCACAACAAAGTGCTCAGGTAAGACACACTCACCTTTTCACACCAAAGCGCTCAGGTAACACATACTCACCTTTTCACACCAAAGTGCTCAGGTCAGACACACTCACCTTTTCACACCAAAGTGCTCAGGTAACACACACTCACCTTTTCACACGAAAGTGCTCAGGTCAGACACACTCACCTTTTCACACCAAAGTGCTCAGGTAACACACACTCACCTTTTCACACCAAAGTGCTCAGGTAACACACACTCACCTTTTCATACCAAAGTGCTCAGGTAACACACACTCACCTTTTCACACCAAAGTGCTCAGGTAACACACTCTCACCTTTTCACACCAAAGTGCTCAGGTAACACACACTCACCTTTTCACACCAAAGTGCTCAGGTAACACACTCTCACCTTTTCACACCAAAGTGCTCAGGTAACACACACTCACCTTTTCACACCAAAGTGCTCAGGTAACACACACTCACCTTTTCACACCAAAGTGCTCAGGTAACACACTCTCACCTTTTCACACCAAAGTGCTCAGGTCAGACACACTCACCTTTTCACACCAAAGTGCTCAGTAAGTAAGTAAGTAAGTAATATTTATTTATATAGCACCTTTCACAGACAGAGGTCACAAAGTGCTTCACAAAAAATACAAATAGAAATAAAAGTACATTTACATTTAAAATCACAAAACATGGTGGTCATAAAACAACCCCTTTCCCACTGGAATTAAAATGCTTTTTCAAACAAGTAGGTTTTCAGTTTACACTTAAAAACATCAACACAATCAAGTAAGCGCAAGGAAAGCGGAAGATCGTTCCAGAGCGTCGGCGCGACCACCTGGAAGGAGCGATCTCCTCTCGTCTTGTAACGGGTACGAGGGACCATGTGAAGGTTCTGATCCTGAGACCTCATACCCCCTCTCGGAGGCTAAGGACACAACAAGTCTCTAATGTAAGAGGGACCCTGACCATGCAAGGCTCTGAAGGTCAACACCAGGATTTTAAAATTGAAACGAAAAGTGACTGGGAGCCAATGGAGGGCTTTTAGAATGGGAGTAGTATGAGCCCGTCTGTTTGTGCGAGTCAGTAACCTCGCCGCAGAGTTTTGTACCTGCTGAAGGCGGGACAACTCCTTTTTGTTTAGACAAGAAAATAAACTGTTACAATAGTCTAAACGGGAAGACACAAAGGCGTGGATAATCATTTCAAGGTCATCCCTTGGCAAAATTGTTCTAAGTTTGGAGATTTTTCTCAGTTGGTAAAAACAGTTCCTGGTAACACACACTCACCTTTTCACACCAAAGTGCTCAGGTAACACACACTCACCTTTTCACACCAAAGTGCTCAGGTAACACACACTCACCTTTTCACACCAAAGTGTTCAGGTAACACACACTCACCTTTTCACACCAAAGTGCTCAGGTCAGACACACTCACCTTTTCACACGAAAGTGCTCAGGTCAGACACACTCACCTTTTCACACCAAAGTGCTCAGGTAAGACACACTCACCTCTTCACACCAAAGTGCTCAGGTAACACACACTCACCTTTTCACACCAAAGTGCTCAGGTAACACACACTCACCTTTTCACACCAAAGTGCTCAGGTAACACACTCTCACCTTTTCACACCAAAGTGCTCAGGTAAGACACACTCACCTTTTCACACCAAAGTGCTCAGGTAACACACACCTTTTCACACCAAAGTGCTCAGGTAACACACACTCACCTTTTCACACCAAAGTTCTCAGGTAACACACTCTCACCTTTTCACACCAAAGTGCTCAGGTAAGACACTCTCATCTTTTCACACCAAAGTGCTCAGGTAACACACACTCACCTTTTCACACCAAA